GGTGTGGATAATATATTGTAAAATGCACTAGTTCTGATACTTAAAATCTTTTTATTTTTCATAGTCATACATCTCGATGTCTAGATGATCAAACAAAGGGTTTTTCAACATTAAAACTACCTTTTCCCATGGATTTTTGAGGGGCATATGTAGTTCTACATTATAAGGTAACATCCTTATATAAACTTTTTCCATAATAGAGAGAAACATTTAAATTTTTAAGAGGAGAGAAAATATTTTAAATACGGGCTTGCCACTTTAGGAAAGAGAAAAAAAATATTTTTAGCTTGGGGAATTATGTGTACTCCTTCTGATCTCATATTATGTAGATTGCTTCATTTTCAAGAAATAAAAAAATTTAAGTATAATAAAAATGAATTATGAGTTCTTGAAGGCCTCAATCCAACAACTCATGAAATGGAAGGCCTTTCAATGAGTTCAAAGAAAAGAATTTGTTGGGGCTTTCCCAAATTATTTTTTTATTTCCATATTCTTTTTAATAGGCTTCTTTGGAGGATCCAAAAGAATTTACACGCCAAATTTGGGATTTATTGTTGCATTTCTTCTTTTACATCTATTACATAGATTTTAGATAAGGATGCAGTTAGCATGTAGAAATGAGAATCCCCTAATAAATTTAGTTTTGAAATAGTTAATCCTAATTTTTAAGGAATATATAATTTTTAACATAGAGATCAAGAATATAAATAAATAAATAAATTTGAAAAATAGAAATAATAATTCTATCAAGAAAGCATTTGGACCGTTAGGTTCAATTGTTTTTAGATGGACTACCCATTTGCATCAATTTTTAAGATGGATGCTTTATACCTCTAGACCACATATTGCACAAATGTAGTCCAACCCACATGAAACAATTATAATAATCACAATCACTCTTGTCCGTCAAATTTCAAATCAGATAATCTTTTATTAGACTAAATATTCAAAAAAAAATTTATTGACAGATACCTTAAACCATCTAATTTGACATCTAATAGCTAAAAGTATATTATAATAGAGAAAAGATTTCTTGAACTTCATGTCATACCCTAAGCCGTCCGATTTGATATCTAGTAAGTACCTTGTAATAAGATAAAGGATCTCATAGCATACAATTAGAAAGTTTTATTGGTATGGAAATGATAAATTATGCAAAGTTGTAATTAAAAAAGAAATATTTGTTATTTTCAAATTTAAAAAAATAATCATATATTTAATATTTTATTTTACACTATTAAGAACTAGGAACCAGAAAGGAGTTGAAAAAACAAAGGAAATGAGAATATTCAATACTTGAGCACCAGGCCAAAATTTGGATCCTCAAAATCACAACTCAAAAAATAAAATAAACCGGCTCCTAAAATATGTGTGGTTCGTATAAGGAATCACAACTCAAAAAATAAAATAAACCAGCTCCTAAAATATGTGTGGTTCGTATAAGGCTGAGGTCCTAAAGAATCAAAGTAAAGTAAAACGCACCTTTAAATAGCATCAATATTGAAAATCTTGATGATACCCTCAAATTTTATTTTTATCTCTAATTACAAAATTTAAAACTTCAAAATTAATATAGATCAAATAAATCTATAAACACTTGAAAATCTTGAAAATTGACTGTCCATTAAGTACATTACAAACTGCACCATTTCCAATAATTAAAATCCATTTTTTTTCATTTTCATACATCTTGAGATCTTGAGATCAAGATGATCAATTTGAAGAATTTTAGGCATCAAAACAACCTCTTCTAGTGCACCTTAATTCGATTGTTTAGAGCCTCATCCTTATATAAACGTTTTTCCTGAAACATTGTAGAGGATCACTAAATTTTGGTCCACTCCACCAATTACTCGTGATATATTAAACCCAAAAATTGGCTAGTCTTTTGAACTCAAAATACTGCAAATATTTGGAGTTCCCCTTTGAATATGCAGTGGGGGAGCTCACAAAAAATATACAAAAGCTCGGACCAGGCAATTTCACATTCTCCCATCAACTTAATAGTAACCCATCTCTTACAGGAAGAGCTGACATCTTCGAGCATTCACTACTATTTCTATGCAGAAACCTTGATGCCTCTGCTGTCAATTCCGCCTAATCTTCCGTGAATCTATTTTTTGAATAATTAGGTCATCGTTCTTGGACGGTCCCGATTGTATCTTGGCGGATTTGTCTTTGCAACATCAACGACAATCATCCACCCATTGATGATCTGAAAAAGTCATCGATCAGCAGTCAGATATAGAGAGAGAGAGAGAGAGAGAGAGAGAGAGTAGCCTAATCTAGCTGCATTACCTTGCCATTCATCTCCTTCAAGGCCGCACTCGCTGCTTCCTCTGTTGTGTACTCGATAAATCCATAGCCCTTGGACCTTTTGGATATCTTGTCCATGATAATTTTGACTATTGGGAGGAAATGCAAAGGATAAAACAGATGAACCTCAAAAATACATTCAAATGTGTGTGGATTCTTTGGCTAGAGACACTGAGAGATCATAAAAATCATCCAATATAAAGCCACAAAATTAGGGACAACAAATTATGGCACGATAATCTTTAAAAAAAATGTAAAATTCCATAATACAATGACAAAAGCTCTGTATGGTATACTCTCTAAAAATATATCTTAAATCTAGTGAAATTACCTCTCATCGTGTTCACCTGGAGGCCAATATGGAGTCTGGCATTTCAGAAGGATTAGCTTTATGTTTAAGTTTCTTAGGTTCATTAAAACTTTGGGACTCTTAAGCTTTTTAGATGCATAATTGTGCATACTTGCCCAAGAAAAAAAGTGTACAATGCTTGTACAATGAAGCATGACCTTTCAAAAAAATAAAACGAAAAGCAGGGGCAAGTGAGATGGCCAACAATCTCGCTAAAGCAGGGGCAAGTGAGATGGCCAACAATCTCGCTAAAGCAGGGGCAACACTCATCTCATGGAACCATTTTGGCACATTTTAAGCTCTCAACTCCTTTGTTTTTTTTTTTTGCATCTCGTGACAATGTCGTTGGATATTATGTAAAGCATTCTTGGGACCCCTAAGGGGTTGTATAGAGCCTCAGCAAGTGGGAGGCCTATTTTTTGCATGATGTTTACCCTTCTCTTTTAATACAAAGCCAACCGTTCCAAAAAAAAAAAAAGATTCAAAATCCAAAATTTTCCTTTTGCTAACCTGTCGAAACCATACCAAATTAGAAGTTTTAAATAATGTCCATACCATCAACAAGCTTGCCAAACCCTTCAAATTCTGCACGCAGAGTCTTCTCGGATGTGTAAAAGGAAAGTCCTGCAATGAGATGATCGCATAGAATGGTGAATAGTATGACTTACAAGGGATAAGCCACCCTTTATCCATACATGCATAAGAATTGGGTACTCCAACCTGGGCATCATTTCAGTAACAGATAACAAACTGGAAAAACTCAAAAGTATGGGATGGTAAGAAGATTCATATAGTTCTTTCTACCGTACTATCTTCACTATCCATATCCCGCCGATTCAATCTAATCCACTCATTTAAGACTTGGAATTGTAAGAATTAGAATCCCTTTCATTTCTTCAGTCATTGATCATTGATAAAAACTAATAACTCAAGTTTCATTCAACAATTATATAGAAAACAAAACTAATCAATTGCCAACAAAATTTGCAAATGACATAGCACGAAGGACCTCATAGCAAATACAAGACTTCATGTTTTTGAACTAGGAGATTTTATGGGGAACTCCTTCAGATAAGAACCCGGATCAGTCAGGTGAACAAGCCATCTAAGAAACAGGTCATGATCAGCAAATCACTAATCCAAAACGGCAATCCAGCCGAAAGAATCAGCCAATTTAATAAATAAATAAACAAATAAAAAAAAATCGATGGCAACAATAAAAATTGAAAAAAAAAAAAATCAAAAGTAAGAAAATGTGGGAAGACAGAACCGGTCGGTTACTAAGTTTATGTGCTGATTTTTTTAATTTTATAAATAGAAGTACTAAAAGAGGGTACATTTTCTTTTTCTGGAAAACAAAAATGTTGGAATATAACCAGGGAACCACTGTGTCAAACTCTCAATAAGTATTTGTATAAAACAAATGGAAATAAGAGGGGCCATTCACATGTATTAGGAGCCAAGGATTACATAACACTACAGTAGTAACCGCCAGTACAGCACTAAAATGTTGGATAGGGTTTTGGAAGTAGGAGCCAATCAAACTTATCGCGAGCATTTCAAAATCGAAGAACCCACAAGATAGGGAACTTGATGGATCTAACAACTGGCATTGGAAAGAAGAATATTTTTGACAAGTACATCATCTTGACAAGTAAGTTCCAAGTACCTACTGAAAGGAAATAAAACCAGTGAAAGTAGTATAGAAGTCCCACAAAAGCCTTCCTCACCAAGCCTCCTCTATTTAAGAAAAAGAAATTCTACAAAGGCCACTTTCCTCGAGTAATTGCCATTAAAATTAAAGCATCACTATTTTTGGCATCAACTCTGGGCCTGAACAATGTCATTTCACCCATGTTATGCACTTATACCGTACCACACATCTTTATATATTCCCTATACCTCTCCTTGTTACCTTGCCAGATGAAATCAGGAAATCTGAGGGCATCCTAAATGACATTTTTGGCTACTTACTGATTTTATTTATTAGTTCAGAAGATTTTGCATATCTTTATTGTTATATCCGTTGTCAGAGATAAGAATTAATCATTCTTAGGAGATGAGAGATATATGTTAGGAGGTTATGAGTTATGACATTACCTGGGACATTTAGTGACTGCAACAAATAACAAATCACTCATATTATCTCCTTGGAAGTCAATAAGCTTCATTTTGCTAAACAGATTGATCTGTGCAAACCTTGATAGTGCAATTTGGGGATTAGATGCTTCAATGAGTACAGCGTGGCAAGTGGAATTGTTGGGTTTTTGTTGACAGGGCAGTCCATGGCACAAAATTTGTATGTGGAATTATTGGGCCTTAGAGCTTTCAGCGGGTCTAAGAGGTCGTCCATTTGCATGTAGGTCCATCATATATCTTCAAGTTGAGAGAGTGAAATAGTGAAAGGAAGTGAGGGCAATAGAACGACAATATTTAGAAGGATGAGAGTAGAAACAGCAAAAGAACAAGGTACAGAGTGGAAACACGATAGAGGTTCCCAAGCAGGAATGACATACTAAATATAATGTTCTTGAAACTAACAGCCATTGTGTCTATGGGTCAATATACAGCGAACGTACATGGTTTGGGGCTAATGATGCAAAAATATTTCAAATAATGTTTTTAGACTCGGCTCAGGCCATGGACTCAGACCCAGTCAGAGCTGAGTAACTCGGCCAAATCCGAGCTGAGTCGGAGTGGACTCTAGCGAGTTGAACAGGGCCCAAGCCCTAAAAAACTAAAAAAATTTCAAAAAAAATCCAAAAAGTAAAAGAAAAACTTTAGAAATGAAACAAATAACAACATAAGAAATCAAATAAGTTGAAAAAAATATAAAAAACATGGATTTAGAAAAACGAATGATTTACAGTTGGAGACATTTCAGAAAAATCCAAGAAAAAAAGAAGGTACAAAAACACAGCATTTGACAGTAAAAACTCACATATCACTGTAAAAGACATCCAAATACATATGTACTTTGTATGCAGCGATCCCACAAAATTTATATAACTGTTATGTTGTTTTAAATTTTTTAATATGTGCCCGAGTTGTACACAGTTACTCGGCTCTGCCAGGGTCCAAGTCCTTGTAACTAAGCCGTGTACTTAAACACTGCTTCAAAATGGGTTCAATATCCATGTCAGAAACTTCAAAGATGTATCTAACATCACCAAAAAAAAGGGCAAAGAAATATTGTTTTGTCCATATCCACTGCCTTATCTATGCATCATAGGTTAAGGCTCAGGGATCATCATACACTTCACTTTATGTAGATTATGTCGACTTGTCCTACCAGGATCAGCTTTCCCAAGACCGGCAAATTGCTATTCATTGAGAAAATTCTTAGGGGCAGCTGTTTTTAATATTTGAGGGAACAAAGCAAATTGGCCTTTGTTATTCAGGGGAGGTTTAAGGAATTATTAGTTTGAGGAGTGGTGTCTTCTCTTAAAGTGCCTCGAGACTGTTTTTGTTTGCCCTTGTAGGGCAGATAAGTTTGATCCGAACTAGGATGATTGGCCCAGAATGAGTTGTTATTACCAAAAGGAAATAAAAAAAATATACAACCAGCCGATTTATTAATGAAAATAAAAGGACATGCAAATCTAAAACATTTCCTTGTTACTCCTGTCAGGGCAGTATTTAATGGGTGAAAATAAGAGTAACGCTATACTTAAATAGAGTACGCAAATAAATACAAGAAAAATCTAAGGATGATCACTCAAACATAAGTGAGTTAGATCCATTAAACTACATAGAGTGACATACCAGTAACAAAAAGCCTTTTTGTTCTAATGGGTGGATCATTTGATGAATCAGTTGATTCGGTGGACTTCAACGGATTACTGACACCTGGACAATCATGTTGTAAGCATATTAAACAAGGCAGCACACTATCTTCTCTTGCAGATAAGTTAGTCTAAATAATGAATATGTAACAACGTTTGAAAACTACAGGCCAACGAACAAAATAATATATTTTAATAAAGATATCTAACTCAAAAAGTTCTCGTTTTTATTTCTAGTGTAGATTTGGGTGGATTTGTTTCACAACTAGACCAAATATCAGACAACAACCCAATAAAGGAAAAAGTGGCAAGGTTTAATGAACCTCAAAAGAGATAATAATCTGAAAAAAGAAAAGATAAGAACCTCAAAAACGAAAGGCATTTGATTCAGCATCTATAAAGTACCTGCAAGCTCTTGGATTAAATTTTCAGCTTAGAAATGTATTCGACATTTTCACAACCCCCCAAACATGCAATGCAAACAACCAAAACTAATATAGTACGCTTAAGTTATATATTATATGTTTAAACTATATATTATGAGTAATCTAGGGTTTGAATGTTGAAAATGAAACCAAGTGTGGTTCTTTGGATGTCAGCAGCGTGCAACAAAGCATACTATTCATAACTCATTATTACATGCAACTGTTTCACATTCGTGATGCAACTCAAGCTCCTCAAAATTCAACAAAAATTTGAATTTATGACTGCATCCCCTTGCTAGATTGGAGTTGCCCCAATAGTCATCAGAATGATAGCAAAGGCAAAACTCCAAGAAAAAGAATGCAAGCACCTCAGTATGTACAAAGAAAACAGTTACATAAAGTTGACAACCTAGACAACACAACATTCAGACGAACCATACCTCCATAATCCTTGACTTCTGATTCAAAATTTGTATCTGGCTGAACCGACAAAACTCCTGGAACACCTATACAAATTTTCTTCTTGATTAATTAATTCAACAGCAAGTGTCACCACCAATAGAATTGGCAGCATCATGCATCCATACTTACCAGCCAGTTCCTTTGCATCATCATGGTCAAGTTCACAACAAAACCCAAAATTTGTTTGCCAAGAAACATGGTATATACACATCTGTGCGTCCTTTTCACTACAAAAAAAAAGAAACAATCCAATTCAAGAAAAATTGGATAATGCATAGAGGACAACAACAAAATAGATAAGTGTGAAAAACAGAAGTTGCAAAGGCAAGAAAGATCTAAACAACAAAATAGAAACTCACTTTCCCAAAACAAAAGATCTAAACAACAAAATAGAAACTCACTTTCCCAAAACCTTGGTCAATGTTTGAGCATAATAATCCACCATTTGCGGTTTGGTAATGACCATAACACGGGGTTTCTCCATACGAACAAGCCAGTATTTTGAAACCTGAGGAGGGGAGGCCTCTGATATTGCCACTTGATTGCCATTGTTCAAGTTGGATAGATTACTAAAAATATTAAAACTATAATCCCCTTGTTTACTTCCCTTGTCAGTACTATAGTCTTTGTTGGGGGATTCAATGTCAGAATCGGGCCGAACAGACAAAACCTCAGGCAGACCTACAGAAAAGACTCGAATATCTAAATTAGTGACAAAATTCATCAACCAATTACAATCTTTAATCAATTAAGTACCTAAACATGTGTAACATCTAAGGAATATTGTTTCAGCAGAGTTTTTTTTTCCTTTTTTTAAAAGACAAATGCATAGGAACACAACCTCTAATCACTAGATCACTAAAAAATGACCATAACATCAATGTTGGAGTTAAATTACTAATGGGACGATTTAACCTATCAACCAATCCCACCCCCTCACCCGCGGGCCTTTCATTTGAAAAAAGGAATGGATTAATGCGCATGTCTTTTTTCTAAGCACGCTCAAGCCACAAATGTAGTATCTTTATCAGTGAATACAGCAGAAACTGATCAAGGAAATCCTGTAATGGACAAATAGAAAACCTAAAAGTTAAAAATTAAGAGTGAGCCTAACATTAACATCCCATTAGATCAAAATGTAAAAACTCATCTATTATTCTTTCTGAAGACAATCACATTGCATCCCAACTTGGCACAAAAAACAACTCTTGAGTGTCCAGAAAACTACAAAATTCATACCAACCGAACCACAACGATTAAGATAGCAATTACACTTCAATAGAACACTGTTAGAATAAAAAAAAAAAAACCAACAAAGGCTTACTAGAGAGTTTGGTAGAGCTCTCCTCATCGATAACACAACAGAACCCGAAATGGGTTTGCCATGAAGCATCATAAATACACATCTGAGCTTCTTTCTTGCTGCAAAACCAAAACCCATATTTCAAATTTCCTGATTGAATCATTCAATAAACAAAAAAAAAAAAATGGTAAGGAGAGAGAGAGAAGAAGGCCACCTCCCCAGAACCTCGGCTAGGGTTTCGACATAGTAATCGATGACTTGTGCTTTAGAGAGAGCCCCATTTTGTGGTTTCTCGACAACAACTAACCAGTGGTCGCAGAAGGAAGTTTGAGGAGGAAGCAGCTGAGGAGTTGCAGAGGCACGGATGGATGAGGGTTGGGTGGAAATGTAAAGGGTTTTCTGAAGGGTTTTGGGTTTTATGGGGCAACAACCGAGTCTAGGGTTTCTAAAAATTCTTGAGAGAGAATTGCAGGGCGTCGGAGTAGGTGGGGATAAAGCTTGTAAACTGAGGCGAGAGGTGGACATGAAGCTCACCTCCATACATGCATACACCACTTTCTCTATCGCCTCGTTCTTCCGCTCCCGCGCCGGATGCTTGGGTTCAGGATATCAGATGTACTATCCAAGGGTGCGGTTTGTATAGAGCCGAGGCTCTAAACAATCAGAGTGAAGCGCACCTTCAATATTATCAAGAATCTCGTTTCAAATTTTCAATATCGGAAATCTTTGTCATAGCCTTAAAATGTATTTTTATATTTAATTATAAAATTTAAAGTTTTAAAATTAGTATACATCGAGCCCATTTATAAAAACTTGAAAATTGATAGTTCAAAAACTTGAAAAAAAATTTCTTGCGTCCTTGCATTTTGATGTCGAAATAATTAATTTGAGGACATTTGAGCATCAAAACAACCTAATAAATTTTTTGAGGGGGGCTCTAATTTGATTGTTTAGAACTTCGGCTTCATATAAATTTTTTCCATTATGTCCAATGGATGAAGTTTCTACAGGTTTTAAAAAGACAAAATAAAACCTCATCTCAAATCCTCGTGGGGAAATCATTTTGGGGCAACATAAATCTATATGATAACTCTAAAATTAATTTTTAATATCAACAATAAATTTTAAAACCTAAAAAATTATACGGATCTTGCCGATATATGAACACCTATTTTTAGGGCTAAATAGACGGTCTAGATAATTTGTTACAATATATATTATTTTTAGAGTTTGAAATCTTTTTTTTATTTAAAAAAAATCTTATTTTTTTTATCATAGCCATAATGTTCAAGTTGAGATAATTAATATAAAGCCTTTCGATGCTTGAATTGAAAATTTCAATGAGTTATGAGATTACTCTTTATTTACTTATTTTAATAAGGTTGCAGCCCTATCAAAATCATTTTTCTTATTTAATAGGTAATTATGCCATGCACAACCTGTGTGGGGTATATGGTACGCGGTAAGAACGTATCTGTTGATCACTATTGATAACATAGGATGAATATTTCTTGAACTCGGAATGGCTGACTACGCTTAAGTTTTTATTTCCATTGATGAAAGCAAGCCAGTTTATGAGTTTTAAATTGGGATTGTACACTACAAGACTACTTATATTTAGTATAAGGAGGTCATAGTCTATCAGCCATCAGATCTGAGATATGCCTTTGAGTTTGTTGCAAAGGTTAAATAAATTTCTTTTTAGACTTTGAACCAAGTCCATAAAGCACTCATAATTACCTAATTTCGTATTTAATGGTTAAGGGTGATGTACCAAAAAAAAAGGTTTTATTATATATATATTTTTTTAAATTTGATAATTTGGATTATCGTCAACATTTAATGGTTAAAGATGATTGTAACCTCGCTGGGCATATATAACCTTCATGGATACATATGACCTTCTAGCAATATATATATATATATATAAAATAATGATTTCATGCAACGGTTGCATCATACTATAATACAACAACAATTCTAGAAAATCATGTGTTGTGTTATTTCTATGACCCAAAATTAGGCATACACACTCTCTTCATCTCAATTGTCAATCCGAAAAAAAAAGAGTTCAATTTGAAACCCTAGATATGGTCAAAATGAGTCCCTTCCAAAAACGAATCTAGACCATTCATTTGGTGAATTTCAAAATCTTAGCTTTTATAAATTCAAAATCATTTTTTTTTTTTAACATTATTCATCTGATGATAATAAAGTCATCTGAAAAGATTGGAAATGAAAAATTCCTTTTAAGGCCTAGATCTAAGCATCTCACCAAAATGAATGGCTTATGCTAATTTGGCTAAAAAAATACTTTTTAGGTTGTGTTTTGAATTATTATTATTATTTTGTGATTGTTTATTAGAATGAAAAGGGTGTATATTTCAAATTTTCGATTAAACAAATTGCCATAACATAGGTTTTTAAAGTTGTTGCATTATATATGATGCTAACTGT